ATTATTGTATAAGAGAGCAATTATGAATTTCATTTTTCTAGTTAATTCTGTTAAATAAAAAATTATAGTAAGGAAGTATTTGTAATTTTTCAAACCACAGGAAATAATTTGTATTTTAAGAAAACCTCATGGGAGTGTATTTGTAATTTACCCTATTTTGGGACGAATGGAGTAATTGGGAAAATCTAATATGCACACCCTTAAAAATGGTGTTACTATATTCGTCCTTAGTTATGTCAATTTTTGTGTTTAGTTATGACTAATTTTCTTATTTAGTTATGACATTATTTTATGGCTCATGAGATATGTAATTATGTCTTATTTTGTGTTTAATTATGACATTGTTTATTTTTTTTAGGTATAAGTGCAAATGGTACACACTTTTGAAGAGATGTACCACACACTCTGTTTGGTTTTAGTTTTCTATATTCAATTTTTTGAAAATTAAGTTTTTTGTTTTTCGTATTTTTTTTGTTTATTTTTCGATTTTTTTTACTAGTTCAAGTATTTTTTTTAGATACACTTAATATAAATATGATTAAAAAGTATAATATTTTCAAAAAAAATCTTTAAAAAGTTCATTAAATAGAAAAAATATAAAAAAAAAAACAAAAATGTAGTATATTTTTATATTCTTATGTATTTATTATTTTTATAATAAATATTTTATCTTTTAAATATATTTAAGTTAGACACGTTTAAAAAATAAAAAAATTACTTAAAATATTAACTATAAAAAGAAAAAAATAAAAAACAAAAAACTTACGGTGCGTTTAATAGAGTTTTCTAAATATAATTTGAGAATAGAGTTGCATTTTGAGTTTGTGAGTTTTGGAATTATGATTTGAGTGTAAAAAATTTGTTTGGTAAATGAGTTTTGAATTGAGTGAGAAATTTTTGATGTGACATATAATATTTGATACAAAAACTTACAACTTTTAGCTAAACACACAACTTAAAATTATATTTAAAACTCATAAAAAAATTTAAAAGTTTCAATTTTTTTTTATTTAAAATATAAAATATAACACGTGACATTTGTAAAAAAAATATATATATATTTTTCTAGTCAATCAATTGAATATCCAGAAAGACGACTAGTTAATTTAAATTTTTTTACATTATAAAGATCAAAAAGTAAATGTGAAATTAATTTTTAAAAATATTAAACAACCACCACATGTAAAAGTAAATGTGAACTTATATTTTGAAAGCTACGCCTCAATTTTCAAAAAATTAAATTGTTGAAGCAAAGAAGGTGATAGTGTTTCCCGAGTTATTGATTCCCAAACCAACTGGAAGACCTTCGCGCTTCCTTTTCTTTCTCTCTGTGTCCCTCTTCCCGTAGCTTCATCCGCTTCCTTTTCTTTCTCTGTGTGTCTCTACCTCTTCCCGTAGCTTCATCCACACGTCTTCTCCAGTAACTAGTTCTAATCTCTCTCTCTCTCTGTTAGAATAGATACATTGTATTGCATGTATACATACATATACACGACGATACGTGCTCTGTTTGGACTGTCACATAGAGATCAAATCTCTGTTTCATAGCAAGCGATATGGACTACCCATTACCGAGGAGAACTCGGTTGCAAAAAGCTTTGTTTTACAGAGAGTTCAACGAGAAGAAGAAGAAGCAGAAGAAGGCTGATGGAGGGTCCGGTGGTGGTCTGAATTTAGGGTTTGATGGTGGTGGTGGGAGTGATGTGGATGGGGAAGTTGAATCCAATGGTGGAGTTAATTTTGGTAGTTTTCAGAGGAATGAGAGTTTGGGGATTATGAAAGTTCAGAATTTGAAAAAGGGTATGAGAAAAGATCAGAATTTTGACAAACCTAGTGTTGGTTCAAAGGAAAACAAAAGGTATAGTCAAAGATTGAAGAATAACAAGAATGTGATTGGAATGGGGCTTGATGATGATGATGATGAGAGTGATAACGAAGTTCAAATCATAGGTATGAAGGATAAGGATGGTAGAGTGGTTGAGGATAGTGTTGGGCTCAATGATGGAGAGAAGAGTTGCGGTTTATCGAGTCAAGTTCGATCACAGTTAAAGGAGGAGGTAATTGATGTTGTCTCTATTGATTTAGAGGTGCCGAGCGAGAGTGATGGTGACAGTGAATCTATTGGCAATGCTAAAGTTGCTAATTTGGGGAAGAGAAGGCGAATTTGTGGGTTGGATATTTTGGTTGATTGTGAGAAAGAACTGGGTGAAGAAGAGATTGAAAGGCCTACTACCATGGCAGAACGTGTTTGTCTGAGACATGTTTCTAAATCCACAAAATCTGAAAAGAAGATACAGGAATTTGGGGTTAGTGAATCCAATGGCAATGCTAAAGTTGCTCATTTGGGGCAGTTGAGTTCTTGTAGTTTGGATGATGAGGGAAAGGAGAGAAGCATTGAAGGTGGGTTAAAGAGAAGGCGAATTTGTGGGTTGGACATTTTGGTTGATTGTGAGAAAGAAGACGGTGTAGAAGAGATTGAAAAGCCTAAAACCGTGGCAGAACGGGTTCATCTGAGACATGTTTCTAAATCCACAAAATCTGAAAAGAAGAAACAGAAGTTTGGGACTTTTAGTTGCCCATTTACTCTTACTGGTGATGATTTTAAGACTGGTTTAAAAAATTGTAACGATGGAAAATATGTGTGGAAAGCTGGTGAGAATGGTGAGGAAAGCGAAGAGGAAGTGATGAGGCCTGCTAAGAGAAAGCGTAATGCTGTGGGCTCTGCGATTCCAATATCAGTTGATAAGGTGAAATTTATACTATCTATTTACTTTTTTAGAGAACTTTGTATTTTTTTTATTGTCTCAAGTAATTTAAAGAAGAAAGAATTTGAATTTAACAAATATGTTTGTGTTTGTTTGTGAAGATTCTTGCAGATTCTATTTGGGAGAAGGGAGATGTGCCTCTGGAAAATTTAGTTCCTTCTGAACACAAGGTTCCTGATCAAGAAGCAACACTACCCTTAAAGTTCAGCTTTGGCTTTGAAGATGAGGATCCAAAACCACCTGAGAAATCTTATTGGGAAATTGAAGCGGGTAAACTTTTTGCTGAGAGGGATTTTGTTCTCGCAACTTGTGAGATTGGTTCTTCAGATTCTTTCATGGTAAGGTTGACATTAAAATCTAGAATGCACAATAATTATGTTAACTTTTCCAAGTCATATGATCGTAGTATCTGTTAATGCGTCTCCCATAGAGCAGTTTTTTGTTTCCTATTATTGATACTTTTGCATCAGTGTTGAAAGTTTGTCATTGATTATGCATATTTAGGTTGTCTATCAATTTTCTGTGATTATTATGAAGATCTATTTGCTGACTATGATGATCTTTTTTTAAGTCAAGTGTACATGTACATGTACTCATTAAAATACGAAAAAATAATGTTGTTGCACTTTAAAATAAGTGAAACATTTCCATTGAATAAGTGGGCGATTGCTATCCTCTGCTTTCCCCTTCTACCTATGTTAAAAATTTCAATCAAGTTGTGATGTGATCATTTTTTATTCTTGTCATGCACTTCGACATATTTATACTCTTCTATACCAGTTTGCTCTACACTTGTACGCTTTTTAGTGTTAATTTCCCAAAATTTTCTTGACAGTAACAGGTGTTTTAACATAATTTGATCCCATTTTGGAAATTTATGACCCCCTTCATTTGTTTATAGCTGAATTGAGAATGAGAAAACATGTATCTTGCTTTATAATTATTGATGAATTATTACTTTGTTAGCCATTGATGCTAAAAAGGTGGTGTTATGGTAGCATAATTGCTAATGTATTTATCTCCATGTTGGTGAACTAAGGTCACATAAATTTGTTTCTATTAATGAAGCATGAATGCAATTTTAAACTCATGGGTTTATTATATGACGTTGATAACTCCTTTCTTGGTTACTTTTGCTCGCATCCAAAACATCTTGTTGAACCTTACATAATCTCATGATCTATTTACATTTTTAGCTCTTAGTTGCCATTCATTTTTGAATGTTACATGTGTGTTCATTAGTTTCTTTTTCTTTTTTTCTTTTTTTTTTCAATCTTGTGTTGAGTTTTAACATCTTGCCATCAATGATTGGTAGGTTGACAATGAGGACAGTATCACTCAAGACGCTGAAAGTGATCCAGCTACCTGTTGCTGTCAAGGGAGGCAGCAGCTTGTTCTTGATGAACAAATTGGGCTAAAATGCAAATTTTGCTCTTTTGTGAAGTTGGAGATTAAGCACATCTTACCTTCATTTGTAAGTCATCAAACTTTATCGTTCTAAAAGTGTCTGTGTCCTAACGTTGTATTTGCTATTTATTAAGGCTGTTTGTCTGCAAATAAATTGGATTCAATTTTTCAAGCATTCAATTAGTTGAATATTAGGGTGAGTTATATTCAAATTCAAAACAGGGTGATTTTTACATAACTCACACTAATGTTCAACTTCAAAAGCCTTAGATTATAAGGTTTTTTTTTTTTGTGTGTGTGTGTGTGTGGGGTATAGTTTAATAGTATTATCTATTATTACTTAAAAGAAGTCGAACACTAATTATCTGGTTCTATATGAACTTGGTTTTGCATGCAGAGTAAGCATCCCTGGGGAAGAAGAACTAACAAGAAAAACTTAGGCAGCACAGACCATTTCAATCTTGATGATCTTCAGTTCCAAGACTCGGCTCCTCTATACCAGTCTAGTTCTAAACGACACGCTTATGCCAAAAGCACGGTGTGGGACATCATTCCCGGTGTTAAAGATAGTATGTATCCACATCAACGTGAAGGTTTTGAATTTATATGGAAAAACATAGCCGGAGGCATGGACCTTGAAGAGTTGAAGAACAAGAATGATTTTGATGGTGGAAGTGGATGCATTATCTCACACGCCCCCGGTACAGGGAAAACTCGTCTGACAATAGTATTTCTCCAAACATACATGGCATTATATCGATCGTGCAGGCCAGTCATTATTGCTCCTAGCAGCATGCTTTTGACCTGGGAAGAAGAGTTCAGGAAATGGAATGTTGATATACCCTTCCACAATCTGAACAAACTGAACTATTCAGGCCAGGAAAATGAAGTGTCTGTTAGTCTAGCGAAGCAACATGGACCCCAAGGACAAAATGAAAACTCTATTCGTCTGGCAAAGCTGTATTCATGGCAAATGTGTGGAAGTGTCTTGGGGATCAGCTACACGCTATTTGAGCGACTTGTTGGGGATGGTGTTTTTAGAAAAATGCTTCTTGAACTTCCTGGTCTTTTGGTCCTTGACGAAGGCCACACTCCTCGCAACGATCGAAGTCAAATTTGGAAAGCCCTTTCAGGAGTCAAAACTCAAAAGCGCATTATCCTCTCAGGGACTCCTTTTCAAAACAACTTTCGCGAGCTCTTTAATACACTTCGCTTAGTTAGACCCAAGTTCGCTGACAAGATTGACCCCTTTGTGTATGTACATAGACAAGGGAGGAAAAGCAGTGCAGCAAGAGGGAAATGGGATTCGCTGACCAGCTCTATTGGTAAGGATAGCAATAATAAACTAGACAAACTCAAATCCATGATCAACCCGTTTGTGCACGTACATAAAGGTTCGATACTCAAAGAAAGTCTTCCCGGTTTGAGGGACTCCGTGGTTGTTTTAGCACCAACGCACGTTGAGAAAGGCCTCATCAAAGTCATTCAAGGCAGGAAAAACCAACTCGAACGCTACCACCTTGTATCTTTGATTTCTGTAAACCCTTCGTTGTTGCTCAAGCGTTTATCTGAAGAAGAAGCGCTCTCAATTCACGAAGATAGGCTAGAAAGGCTTAGATTTGATCCTAAAGCTGGTGTCAAAACAAAATTCATCATAGAACTAATCCGGCTAAGTCAGCCATTGAAAGAAAAGGTTTTGGTTTTCAGTCAATATACCGTTCCATTGACTTTCCTAAGAAAGCACCTTAAATCCCACTTTGCTTGGACAGAAGGAAAAGAATTATTATACATGGATGGAAAGTGCGATGCAAAGCAGCGCCAGTCCTCAATTAGTTTGCTCAACGATCCTGCAAGTGAAGTACAAGTACTGCTTGCATCAACAAAGGCGTGTTGTGAGGGGATAAATCTTGTTGGTGCTTCTAGAGTTGTTTTGCTCGATGTTGTTTGGAACCCATCTGTAGAAAGGCAAGCTATAAGCCGGGCATACAGGCTTGGTCAGAAGAAAATTGTCTACCTCTACCGTCTGATCACATCTGGAACAATGGAAGGTGAGAAATACATAAGACAGGCTGAGAAGGACCGGTTATCTGAGTTGCTGTTTTCTTCGTCGGATGACGGAGTTTGTAGGTCAGAAAAAATCTCATGTACAGTCAGTGAAGATGAGATCCTACAAGAGATGGTTCAGCACAAGAAGCTCAGCCATATGTTTGAAAAAATTCTCAACCAACCAAAAGAATCTGATTTAATCGACACTTTTGGTTTGGTTGATTTGTGAAAAAACTGTCCAACATTCTTTTTCCGGCATTTGTAAATGCAGTGTAGGAGTCTGTAATACGGGGATTGATGCAGATTGGTATTTTTGCTTCCATTAACCATGTAATACTAGTGTCTATAGCAAATGGGCTTTGATTCTGTTTTCTGAATTTTTTTATGGTAACTTATGAATACTGATTTATAAGTTTGAGCAAGGATTTGGAACATGTGAAATGAACTCAAAATAACATTAACAGCTTTGGGGTTATTAAACATCATTCTTTGTTTCTTGATCAAAGTTCATTCTATTTCATTATCCATGACAAACTACTCTGCTGCTCTCTGACGGTTTTTTTTTTTTTGGTCCCTTTTCTTCTTCTTCTTATGTCTTTGGATCTTGAATTTTATGAAGAAAAAATATAAGTAAAAATAAAAAGAAACGGAAAATAATTTTTTTTTTAAAAAGGCCTTCTACTTCATTTTTCTTTTCTCTTTCTTGTCTAATGGAGATGGGACCTTGTTACAGTACTCTGCCATGGTTTACATTGTTGTCATCAAATTTGCCTTAATAAGCTCTGGACAATGTTAGTTCTCAGTTTATCATTATTTGGTTTGAAATTGGACTAAAAAATGCTTAATTGCAGACGTAACAGTCTAAGAAATGTGTCCATGAGTGAATGAATCCAAGGGTATATGTTTTGTCCTATATTTCCCCCTTTTGTCTTATAGTTCTTGCCCCTCATTGAAAAATTAGTTCAACTGTCCTCTTCCTCATCTTCAACCTTCAATGTAAAGAAAATAAAAAAATAAGGCTATGTTTGGCATGTGAGGTTGGGATTAAAATAGTCACAAAAGACAAAATAAACTAAAAGTCAATAAGACAAAATATAACATCTAAACTATAATCATTTTACTTTGTCTATAATCATTTTATTTTTTCTCTCACAAAAGTAAAAAAAACTAAAAAATCCATCCCACACTGTTTAACTCAAGCTAAATAGTCAAAAAGTCAAAAAGTTAACTCATTTTTCAAACAAAGGCTAAATCATATTTGGCTTTAATTGACTGAGAAGATGGTTAAAAGTCATCTTTTAACTTATAACCCATTTTTAATTACATCATTTTTTACCTATTTTTTTTTAAAAGTAAAAAAAAAGTCAAAAAATTAACTTTTAACTATCTTTTCAAAATAACCATGTCTATTTGTGATCTACTTTTTGATTTCATTGCCTTAACAAATATATATATGCATAGAATTTTATCAAAAGTATCTTAAATGAATTTATACCATATGTTAAACATTCTGAATATTTTTTTTTTTATATAAATTATGTATATGTAACATTTTGCTAAGATATGTTTTGACAAGGCCCATGAATACTCACTTGCATACATGGAAACTCAACAATTATCAATTGTAAATGTTCATTAGTGGGCTGTGCATTTCACATGTACAATTTATGTTCACCTACCCACATGCCTTTCAAACAATCAATACACAATCTCCTAAAATTCTATTATGTAATAATTGAAAGCTAATTGAAGTTATTTTACATAAAATCTTTGCCCTTTCTCTTCCCCTATCTCTTTCTTTGTAAAAACAATTAAAGTTATTTGACATCAAATCTTTGCCGTTTCTCTTTCCATATCTCTTTCTTTGTAAAAATGGATAAATTACATTAAAAGTCTCCCTAATTTGTAATTTATATCATTTTAATTCTTAATTTTTTAATTATGACATATTTAATCTTAAATTTTATTCCAAATAAATACAATTAAATGTATCACTGTTCAATTTCAAAAGTAAAATTGTCTATTTAATAAATTATAAACTAATTTTGACAAAATAAATGTCAGTTTTTAAAAAAAATTATTTCTATCCACCAATAATAAAATTATGTAAAATTGATAAATCTTTTACACATTTATTTATTTACCAATTTAATTTTTATTATATGTTTGGATGATAATCATGTAATGGGTGGTTGTTTTTATTTTCATTAAATTAGTTTTTATTTTTTCAAAAGTTAAATATGGCGACAATTTTGATATCATTATTAAACCAATCTATTAAATCAAAAAATCAAAAACTAAAAACATTTTATATATTAAATATATCGATTCCACATTTGAAGCCTAGCAACCGCCGATTACTTAATCATCATCCAAACAAAATATAAAAATTAATTTGGTAAAAAAATAAATAAACGTGTAAAAGATTTATTAATTTTATAAATTTTTATCTTTGGTGGGTAAAAATAATTTTTAAAAATTAAAACTATTTTTTTGACACTTATTTTTGTCAAATTAGTTTATATTTTATCAAATTTATGATTTTGCCATTGAAATTGAGCAATAGTATCTTTAATTGTCCTTATTTAGAATAAGATTCAAAATTCATAGTCAAATGTGTCACAATTAAAAAGTCAGAGATTAAAGTGACACAAATTTCAAACTATAAGAACTATTAATGTAATTCACCCCATAAAAATTACTTTCAAAAGACTATGGTTACATGGACATCATTTCTTTATAACCCATCATCAATGAGCAAGTACCTTGGTTGTTTATGTATGAACAATTTTATTTTATTTTTTTTATCCAACGAAAGTTAAACTTGATTAGTATATTAGATTAGTATATGGCAAGCACTATAAAATGAATAGTTTTTATCTAATAATTAATTATTTAATAATTTTAAAATATGATGTGATATTCTTAACTAATGACGTTGCGAAATAAATTTATGAATGAAACAATGTTGAATACTTTGCTAAGTATTTGAGAAATAAAAATTAACTCACTTAGTGTATTTTGTTATTCATTATTTATTCATAACTTTATGTAAATATAATATATGATGTTTTAAGATTATTTTATAATTTTCTCCGAACCAACAAGGTCTAATAATTAATTATTTAATAATTTTAAAATATGATGTGATATTCTTAACTAATGACGTTGCGAAATAAATTTATGAATGAAACAATGTTGAATACTTTGCTAAGTATTTGAGAAATAAAAATTAACTCACTTAGTGTATTTTGTTATTCATTATTGATTCATAACTTTATGTAAATATAATATATGATGTTTTAAGATTATTTTATAATTTTTTCCGAACCAACAAGGTTAAAAGACGTTGTAAATACTATACTACCCTCTTTTTTTTTTTTGATTCAAAGTAATACTATACTACCCTCAACACTTGTAGTAATTTTCTAAGTTAGTAAATCCATCTCAGATTCCTTAGGTTCTAAGTAATTAAAGTGGATACTAACCAAGATAACTCAAACAATAACCCATGAAATTATTAGCACATGATGTAAGCATACGCAAGCATTTCCGGTGCATAACAAATTTCTCTCTTTACATTATTGGGATTCATCCAATTTCTCCCCTTCATGTATAATTGTTTCAACGTGTGATTTAAAAAATTAAATTTAAAAAACCCGAAATAAATTTTAGCAAACAAGACTATATTAAGGACTTGGGGTTACTGTTGTACATCGAAATTGGCCAATTTCAGGTTCTATTTTGATAATTCAAACCGTTCATATTAATACATCAAGTAAAATATGCCTGCAAACAATTAAGTTAATCGGATATCGTTTACCTATTCATCCACTCACATTTATATTTATTTAATACTTTAAATCATAATTATTATTTATTTTTGTAGATACAATATGAGTGGATGAATGGGTAAACGATATCCGATTAACATGATTTTTTGTAGGTATGTTTTACTTAATATATTATAAAATGTAAACGGTTCTGATTATCAAAATGGACTCCAAAATAAGCCCATTTCAACACACAACAGTTGTTGCTGCACGGGCTGCGCAGTAGCAACCCCAATTCCCTATATTAATCATTCATTTATATACACGAAAGATATAGATAAAGTCAGATTATATTTATTTATTTAGACCTTCCTTGAGAACAAGTTTATAAATCAATTTATTAATTTATTTGAATTATATCATCTTTATACTTTTTATATGTTTATTTGTAACAATAAAAAAGTCAACTTATAGATCACTAATTAGAACAACCTTTAATTTTTATTTTTCATTATTATGATTATAATATTTCCACTACATAGTGGCAAATATAAATACATAAATATAATAATTATGAGGAATAGAAAAAAATGCCAACCAATGTAGTTTTTTTTTATTTTATATTTTTTTATAACAAATAAATCATATATGATACTATAATAAAATCTAATAAATTAAATTCACAAAATCGTAACAATGAATATAAAATACAACACACACTAAATACAAAAAAATCTCTTACAATAAATAAATACACAATGAATCAAATTCACGCACATAAAAAGTTTCGAAGTACTAACTTCTTAGTAAAAATTTTCACGTCCAACATATGTTTCATTTCATCAATTGATTTATTTATTTAGGATTTTTCAATTTTTTGATATCTTCTTTAATTACATATTTTATCATTAAGGGTAAATTATACTTTGTCCCCTTTTCTATTTGATCACTTTATCAATTTGGCCCTCAAATTTTTTTTCTCATTAATGTTGGAAGTTTTTTTCAATTTTCTTTAAAATTCATTTTTGTTCAAAATTAGACAGAAAATACTACGTTGCTAACTATTACATGATATAAAAATATGTTATATTGGGATTTAGGTTTTCAATTATTTTTTTACACTATGTGACTATAAATATGTTATTTTTTGTTCAATTTTAAAAATAAATTAGAAAAAACTCATGAAAGGCCAGAAGTGGGGGAAAAAAATTGAATGGCTAAAATGAAAAAAGTGACCAAAATAAAGGGCAAAGTGTAATTACCCTATCATTTATTGTTTAATCACGGTTAGCTTCACTCTGACCGTTGTTTAATTTCGGGAAAGTTATAATATACACCAATGCTGCATCGTCTGTACTCTAATTATATCTTTTTTTATTATTTAATTTTGATTATTTTTTTTTAGTTATGACAATATTTTAATAATAATTTATAAAATTTTAAATTTTTTTATTTAGTTATGATTAATTTTTTTAATCATGAGTTATAATTTTTTTTAATTATATCTTAAGTTATATTTAATTATAATATATATACATATTTTAGTTATGACTAAAAAAAATTAAAATTATATTATTTTTTTGATAATATTATATGTATTAATTAATATACTGACATATATTATGATATTATTATTAATCTTACTCATTATTGAAAAAATAGTTAAAAGCTAAATTTGTAACCTTTTTTTTTTTAGAAAAAACATATAAAAATTGTAAAAAATAATATACCTCAAAATAAGTTTAAAAAGTGAAAAATAACTAAAAAAAAATATATATATATATATATAAATACATATAACATACCATATACATATAACATACCATATGACGTTATTCATTCTTTTTTAGTGCTTAACTTCGAATTGAAGAAAGGAGGGAGAGAGAGAGAGAGAGAGAGAGAGAATCGTCACTTTGCACAGGGACAAAAACCACCGCAGTAGTTATAAAAGCTATCACCATTGCTTAGAGAGAGAGAGAGAAAAACTTCAAACATCAAGAAAAAGCCCAAAAACCAGTTCAATTCAACTATTTTTCTTTTTAAACTGTTTTCAGGTAGGTTATCTACTTTGTCAATACACAGTATCATCAATCATATATATATATATATAGCCAATGATCTCTCTTCTTCTCTCTCTTGATTGGTTTTTGTTTTTTTTGTTTTTAATGTGTTTTTGTTTCTCTCTTAATTCTTTCTCTCTCTTCATTCGTCATGGTTCCCGCCACTCCTCCTTCCCATTTCGCTTTGTCAAATTCAAAACCCTAATTTCCTTCTATCCCCATTTTCTCTGTAGGTAAGCTGTCGAACCCTTTGAACCACGTTTGTTTATCTTTTTGAATGTATGTGAATCTATACATGTAGTGGGTTTTGAGCTGAGTTTGTGTTTTTTCGATTGTTTGATTGATTTGTCTGTCTTTTTTTGTGAATAATCGTGTAATGGGTTTCGATTTTTACGTTGTTAACGCTGGTCATTTGTAGAGATTCAAGAACTGAGAATTTAGGTTATAAATCATAGTGGTTGTTGAGTTGAGTCTGTGTTTGATTGATTGATTGATTGATTTTTCTGTCTTTCTTGTGAATAATCTTGTAATGGGTTTCGATTTTTCTGTTGCTGACATGGATCATTTACAGAAGATCGAAGAACTGAGAGTTTAGGTTATGAATCACAGTGGGTGTTTGGAAAGTTAGTTTTTTTTAGTTGTAGGATATTATTGGAGAATTTTTTTTTATTTTTTTGGTTTGGGAAGATGGTTGAGTTTTTTTTTAGTTGGATGTGATGTTTGTAAGAAAAAAAATGAAATGATTATGGAGTTTGATTTGATATTTTGTTTGAATTTATTTATTTCTTTTGTAACCACTTTGTCTTTTAGTAAAAAAAATAAAAAAAAATCCTTCCCAAACACTGCCATAGTGGTTGTTGAGTTGAGTTTGTGTTTGTGTTTGTGTTTGTTGGATTGATTGATTGATTTCTCTGTCTTTTGTGAATAATCGTGTAATGGGTTTCAATTTTTCTGTTGTTCAACAAGTCTGTGTTTTTTGGCAGGAGATTGAAGAACTAAGAGTTTAGGTAATAAATCATATATGTCCTTCAACCAGGCTAGGGCTGAAAGGAGTGAGTCACACTACAGGAGACCTGGTCGACCCGGAAACTCAGTTTACCAAAGGGTTTCATCAGGTGGTGTAGGAAAGGGCGGCGGTGGGACGGGCCTTCCACCTGCTTCTGCCAATTCCCAATCTTCAACGAATCGGAGGTAATTGCGTTGCAAACCTACATACATCTCGGAATTTCTTGATGGCTCTTGGAAAACTAGGGTTTGTCTGTTTTGGGTTTTTAATTTTATTTGTTTTTATCAGCTTGAAGAAGTCTAATGGACAATGGGCACAGTCAAGGGTTACTGTTACGAGTGCAAATTCAGAGTCCAGTGCCGTGCACAATGGTGCCCGTGCACAACCCTCATTACAGGGTATGGCGACGTCTCTCACTCTCTCTCTCTCAGTTATCTTTCTTATAGAATTATGAGGATGTTGTGTTGCCTGAGCATAACAATTGAAAAATTTGGTACTTTTACTTATGGGTTTAATTATTTCTTAATTTTTCTGACCATGTGTCAGAACTGTAATAACATTGGTTGTTAATTGAATGCGAATGCTAAAGAGTTGGGTTTTTTTTTTTTTTTGGGTTCATGTTTTAAAACTTTGTTATGATCTCAATATGTACTTGTTTGGTTATTTGTTTTGAATCACGCCAACCATTTTTGCGTGTTGGTTGGGGAATTAAATCAAATACTACTTGTTGCTTTCTGGCAGGATGCAATTTGATGTATTTTATTAATTCATTTTAACTTATTGGAACATTGGGTGCTGGTTGAGATGAAAACTTAAGGTTATGTTCAGTAATGTTTCTAGTTTTCTTTCCTTCGAAAACAAAAAAGAATAAACATGTGTGTGTGTGTGAGAGAGAGAGAGAGAGAGAGAGAGGGCTTTACCTGAGGGGAAGACAACAGTTGTTGAGGGGAAACAGCACAGCAGCTCTCCGCATGGGTGTGAAAGAGAAAGGCAAGATAATGGATTCTCTGAGAGAGGGAGAAGCAGGGATCATGTATCAGACTGATGTATTTCGTTTCAATTGGTTAGTGCTATAGAGCTCACATGACACTTAAAGCAATCAAGAAGTGAAACATCAGTGGGACTTTGTCAGACTGAGTATCATTTTGTATTAGGGGTTTAACTATTTAGGTTCTCTAAAATTTCAGGCTTTCTTTTCTGTTCACAGGAGTTGAAAGCATATCACACTCCCATATTTTTAAATATATGGACCCAGTGCTATTTTATACTTGTTTTTAAAACTAGTGAAAACACCCTTTTTGTGTTTTCATTTTTTTGTCATATTTGTGCTAGCAGTTTTCACAAAAAGGAAATAGAAAACATTTATCACGTTTCTAAAAATCCTAAAATAGTCAAATGTGTGCCATGTTGTTTGTTGTAGAATAAGATGAACATTTGTTGTTGGTTGATTCTGGGATCTTAATTGGTTTGTTATTTATTTTTTTATTTTTTTTGGGAATCATAATGATATTTGTCATTGCTTGAATACAAGAGCTGCAACAATTTGTTTTCATTTTTTAAGCTTTCAATAAAGTGTGTCAGATTTCCAATTATGTGTATACGTGCAAATATTGTATTTGAGATTCAAAATGAATTTAGTCAAATTTATGATTGGTATAAGCTTTATTTATTTTATTTTTTTTGTAGGGGCATCTAATGCTCTGTTTACAGATGCATCTGCCAAATCTACTGATATGCATAATCAGAGAAGTCATCAAACTGCTTCCAGTGCTCCAACTTCTGCATCTGCATCTGGAACTTCAGAATCAACTGCCCCCACAACCCCCGTAAGAGGTATCCTTGCTTGCTGTCATGAACTATCTGCACTGAATGTAGATGGGTGTCATATGATATTTATGTCATCTTCATATATTGGGTGCTTTTTCAGCAAATGCCTTTGTAGAATGTTAATGTTTATGGTGGACGGCTACATTTATTTTCCTGATTTCTTTTCTGCTCTTTTGTTCAATTTCGTTCTTACTTACATTCATACTTTGTCCACTTAATTTGACCCAGCTGACACATCTAAGGGAGTTTCTCTTCAATTTGGGAGCTTTTCACCAAATATAGTGAGTGCAATGCAGGTAAGTGTACCCTCTATATCTAGAAAATATGTTATGAACATTTCGAGCTTTTCTGGCTTGTTAATTGTTCAAGGAAAAAAAACATTATTTTTTTAATTTTTGTAGATACCTGCTCGAACCAGTTCAGCTCCTCCAAACTTGCATGAACAGAAGTGTGATCAGGTTTTTATCAGCTCTGCAATGACCTCTAATGGTTGACATTTTCTAGTATGTGTTGAAATATATGTATTATTGATTGCTTTGTTGATGTATTACAAGATTCATAAATTACAATTCCTATACAATCTATATATAGAAGAAAATGTGGTAGTAGGTGTAGTGGAGGTGATAGTGGGTTAGGTGAAGTGGAGTGTGTAGTGGAGTAGAGGTAGGTGAAGTGGAGTGTGTAGTGGAGTAGGTGAAGGTAAAGATGGAAAATTCTAACAGTATGTTTATATGTCAGAACTTTGCCTGGGTTGTGCTTAGTGTTTAGCTTTTTCACAACCGGTCCTAAGCCCAGAGAAGTAGGAGGATTGTGTGTTTAAGTAGCCTGAAAGTCGGCACGTAAAATTCCTGGTCAGATCCCCTGTGAACCTAAATTCATGTCTGAACCTTGTCCATTATTTTCTACTCTGATGATAAAATTAGATATGTGGTCCCATTGGATGATAGTTTTCAAGAAGTGTTACTTTATCACTGAAGGCTGATGCATATCATGCTTGGTTGACCTGATGTGAGATAAATAAATTGTTTAGTCAGTCAGACTATTGTACTATTGAACAAAAATTACCATGACATGTTCATTTAATTCTGTGATTTTGGCTTTAAATTGAATTCGTTAGCATTTAGCTAACATACAAAAAAACATGTCATCAGAAATGATTGGATTATTACCCATTACTAGTTTGTCTAGTTACTTGCAAAATTCTTTTGAGTTTGTAATTATTGAAGTTTCAGTGTTTGTTTATGGATTTAAAAGTTAATTTGTTGCTTTTATATTTTCTCCACTCCCTCCTTAAGGTGGGTCCTTAAACAGGCAATGCAATTTTCGGATTTTAAACCTGAGAAGTACTGCCTTTGATATGTATATTCATATTGCATGAATGAAAAGTCATTCCGCATCTTGCAGGCACGCCATGATTCCTTTAGATCAGACCCACTGTTAGCAACTTCTATTTCTAATCGGCAACAACCGAGGGAAGATGTCGAGCAGTCCAAGAGTACAGTTCCTCATCCTCCATCTTCTGACAAAAGGGGTGTTCGTGCGCAAGCTTCGGCTTACAGTGGTGCTACCAGTGCAAAGAATTCATCTACTCCTCTTTCTGGGGCATCTATGGCTATTCCATTTCATCAGTCACGGGTTGTACAATTTGGTGTCCCCGCTCCACAAATCCAGGCTCAGGGAATGGCAACTACTTCACTACAGATGTCAATGCAGCAACAGGTGTTTGTTCCAAGTTTCCAAGCCCCTCCTTCGCAGCCACAGGGCATGATGCATCAAGGTCAGGGGTTGAACTTTCCCCCTCAAGTTGGTCACCAGATCAGCTCCCAGATGGGCGACTTGGTCATTGGGATGGGGTCCCACTTTGCACAGCAGCAGCCTAGAAAGCTTGGTGCTCCTCGCATATCCATAAAGATTATTGATCCTAAAACTCATGAAGAGTTGAGACTTGATAAAAGGGCTGATACAGATTTGGATGGTGGATTGTCTGGCCAAGGGTCACATCCTAACATGCCCCTCCAACCACAGCCTATTGTTTATGGTCCCTCGCATCAGGTCAACTACTTTTCTCATATTCATCCCAATTCTGTGTTCTTTCAAAATCCAGCTTCACTTTCTTTAACAAGCACCGCCCAGATGGCTCCTAATTCTCAGGCATCGGTGATTAATTATGTGGGTGGGCAGGGTTCACATGTTTTAGCTTTTAAAAACCCTTCCCTTCTTAATCATTCCTCTGCTTATAAGACTGGCCCACCAATGCATGGGATGGCTGTCTCATCGAACTTGGAACCTGGTCGCAGGGCTGAGACATTAATTTCTGCTGCATCTTCAGTCTCAGAACAGGTGGCAGTAAAACCTGCTGCTCGTTCCCTTGAAGACAGGGTTGTGCCAGCTTCAGTTTTAGTTAGCTCAAATGCTGATAACACGAGTGAGGTGATGACGTTATTTAGATCTCACATGGCAACACAGTCATTGCATTCTCAAGGGGACTCAAAGATTCATCTGGAAATCTCTGTTCAACAGTCTAAATCTATTTCAGTTCCATCATCTCCCGGGAGAACAGAAACTGTTAGAAGGGTAGATTCTATAGAGGATCAGTTGAAACCACCTCAGAAGAAAGATCAACACCACTTCCAAATGCAGCAACAGGTATCTATACTCTTAAGCATACTGACACTCCTGCATGTTTAATTCTGGTGTTTTCAATTACTTTTCAATGCTACCTTGATACAGGCAGATATCTCAGATTCAGCTGATTGTTCGGCTATGAAGGCATACAAAGAAGTGGCTAAATGTACTGAAAATAAGCAGGCTCTTTCAGAGAAAGTTGAACCATCTGCTTCTGTTTTAGCGGACCCTTTGTCGGGATTAGAACATATAACTTCTGCCAGCAACAAAATTTCAGAGACTCTGGAATCTGAAGCAACTCGTGCTTCATCAGAAACTTTTCAAGATGTTGCTGTATCCACTGTGGAAGCCTTGCCTGGTGGTGTTGCATGTGTTTCTGTTGCTTCAGTAGAAGGGACTGATAGTGTTCAAGTTGTGGAGGGCTGCGTTTGCGAAACATCAAACAAGTCAAGCGGGGAAATTGTTTTTGATGAGCTTAATGGTGTTAGTAGTGCAAAACAGGATGATTGTACTTCATTGGACATTCAACTGAAAAATGAAAATACGGGATTAGCAGAACAGATGAAAACTGAAGAGTCTAAGCATCCTCAACTAGATAATAACTATAGTGATGATAGGGTCAATATTACTGCAGTTTTGCCTTCAAATACCAGTGATCACTGCAAGAACTTGGACATTACACAATCAGCCTTCTGCAACAAGCTTGGGCCCGTGGAAACTGAACAGAATATATTGGAAGGAGAGTTGGGGTGTGGTAGCATAGTAAATGAGAAAACAGACAATAACACAGGGAGGTCTACTGCTTTTGCAGACTGCTGTGATTCTGATGTTGGCGCTCACACTATTGTTTCATCTTCTAGTGAAGTTACACCTTCAACTTTGGAGGGCACAATAGGTAAGAGTGGGTTCATGGATGGCCGAGAAGCTTCCCTTTTGGAATCTGGGTTGGCACGTGATGATACTGCTCACATTCCAATTCCGTCAGCCTCAGATTCTATTTTGAAAGTTTCTGAGGAAGAAAATGGTGACTTGGTTCAGTTTCCATCAACAGGATGGAAGGATAATAAGCACACTGTGGAACTGAATAAGATGAAAAGTACCACTGCTAAGGTCAAGAAAACGAGAAAAGAAATCTGTCAGAAAGCAGATTTAGCTGGGACAACCTCTGATCTTTATATGGCATATAAAGGTCCAGAGGAGAAGCCACAGCCTTCTGTTTCTTCAGAAAGTGTTGACAGCAATCCTACCATTAGTATGAGGGAGCCACACTCAGGTTCTAATGAAGAGGATATTGCATGCAAGGAACATGTGAAGAGTATAGCTGAACCAGATGACTGGGAAGATGCTGCTGATATGTCATTGGCAAAACTAGAAAATTCTGACAAGGTAGAAGAGACAAATGGTGGATTGACACATCATGAGGATGATGGAGCTGCTTGCAAGAAGTATTCTAGAGATTTTCTGCTGACACTTAAAGACCGATGCGTTGATCTTCCTGCTGGTTTTGACATTGCTTATGATATGGTGGAGGCTCTTATGGGTAGTAAACTCAGTATCTCAAAAAGTGCTGAACGTATTCCACCTCCAAGTTCTGGAAGAGTTAATGATAGACCCATTGTGGTGTCCAGGCCTGACTTCCGTGGGGCTGGAATGGTAAATGATGACAGGTGGCTGAAGTCACCCATTCCGTTTCCATTTAATCAGGACCATCATGTTGATATGGGTCAAGTGGGCAATATTGTAGGTTTTCGGCTTGGCCAAGGGGGATCCCATGGCATTATGAGGAACCTACGTGGGCAGATACCTGGTCATTATATTGTTGGGCTTCAGTCTGGTCCTTTGCTTCCCCTGGAATCTCATGGAGGTATTCAACGTAATGGCCCTAATGCTGACAGGTGGCAACGTGCTTCTGGTTTCCAGAAGGGTCTGATTCCTTCTCCTCAGTCTCCAATGCAGGTTATTCACAAAGCTGCAAATAAATATGAAGTGGGCAAAGTGACTGACGCTGAAGCGGCAAAACAGAGGCAATTGAAAGCTATCCTCAACAAACTAACCCCTCAAAACTTTGACAGGCTATTTGAGCAAGTGAAGGAGGTTAATATTGACAATGCAGTCACTCTTACTGGTGTCATTTCACAGATATTTGATAAAGCTCTTATGGAACCAACATTCTGTGAGATGTATGCAAATTTTTGTCATGATCTTGCTGGTGAACTGCCTGATTTTGTTGAGGACAACGAGAAAATCACCTTTAAGAGATTGCTTTTGAATAAATGCCAAGAGGAGTTTGAGAGAGGTGAAAGAGAACAAGCAGAAGCTGACAAAGTGGACGGGGATGGAAAGGTGAAGCAGTCTGCAGTAGAAAGAGAGGAGAAGAGGGTCCAGGCTCGAAGACGGATGTTAGGGAATATTAGACTGATTGGGGAACTGTACAAGAAGAGGATGTTAACGGAGAGAATAATGCACGAGTGCATACAAAAATTGCTGGGTCAGTATCCAAATCCAGAAGAGGAAGATATTGAAGCTTTGTGCAAGCTAATGAGCACAATAGGAGAGATGATAGATCATCCAAAAGCCAAGGAACATATGGATGTGTATTTTGAAACGATGACGAATTTATCAACTAACATGAAATTATCTTCTAGGGTGAGGTTCATGTTGAAGGATTCAATTGATCTGAGGAAGAATAAGTGGCAGCAGAGGAGGAAAGTTGATGGCCCTAAAAAAATTGAGGAAGTACATAGAGATGCCGCTCAAGAACGACAACAGGTTAATAGACTGGCTCGCAGTTCAAGCATTAGTTCTTCTTCAAGAAGGGGACAGCCTTCAGAGTTTGGTCCTCGGGCATCAATTATGTTTTCTCCTCCAACTACCCCGCAAGGTGCTTTCCGCGGAGGGCCACCACAACTTCGTGGATTTGGTACTCAGGGTATTCGATTTGAGGACAGACACCCTTACGAGAATAGGACTCTGTCGGTTCCCTTGTCACACAGGCCTGTTGATGATAATGTGATTACACTTGGTCCCCAAGGTGGTCTTGCCAGGGGAATGTCTATGAGAGGACCAGCCATACTTTCAGGTGCTCCCCTGGCAGATGTATCTACAGGTCCTGGAGAATCCAGAAGAATTCGTGCTGGCCCAAATGGGTACAGTTCTGCTACAGAGTGGATGCCCAATAACTCGAGGCAAGAACCAATGACAAGAAATGTCCAAGAGAGGTTCATGCGATCACCTGCTTATTACCATACAAATTCTCAGGAACACGGTGTTTATTATGGGGACAGAGACCTAAACAATGCAGATCGTTCTTTTGATAGATCAATGGCTGGTTCAGCTGCTACACATGTGAAATCTTCTGCTGCACCAGTTGTTTCTTCAGGAAAGGTATGGCCTGAAGAACGTCTTAGAGACATGTCCATGGCAGCAATTCGAGAATTTTATAGGTAATTCTTAACCTTGTCTGTGCTTCTATTTTCCTATCATATTATAGTTTGCTATAAAGTAATTATGCTTATACAAGCTTGGGTTTTTTTGGGCGGCATGTTTCTTATATATGGGTCAGTACTAATTTTGTTATGTGAACTTTGGAATTTTTGGGTAATGTTTCTTGCTGTGGATATGTGGATGATCTCTAAGATACCATCACAAGCCAACCCTTCTCCTACACCAACCAACACACCTTACCAGGGCCTGCCCAACCCTTAAGGAGCCGCAATGCGAAATTTAAATAGGAGGCCTTCTTTATGTTTAAATATTTATTATTTCAATATAATTCATTTTTGTCTTCAACAAAATTGTGTCCCTAATGTCTAACAAACAACTAGCCTAAACAAAATTTAGCAAATTGCAAAACAACAAATAAATTCAATTCAACACAATTAAAATCAAAATTCAACAATAATTAAACACAAACACAATTAAAAATATGGTTTCAAACTGATTAAAAAATAAATAGATAGTAACATGGGTCTTTTTTTGGTGTTAGTTTTGTCAATAGAAATTTGTTTTAACTAGAGCCTTTCTTTGGGTCTTTTTCTTGTGAGTGATACTGTGGTGACCACATTGGGATAGCATATTTGTATATCATCTAATGTGGCACCTTATATGACCCTGACCCATCACATAATGTATTCATCAATAATATGTAACTATTTCTTTCTAAAGATTGCAAGACAATTGTAGAACATTGAAATACACATAATGTGTTCATTCTTTTATAAATGTTTCAAAACATATTTAGAGTGCGCAAGTTACATTTTGACGAATGCAAGACATTATTACTATAAGAGATTCATCATATAGATCGTGTTCGGAAGGTTCAGCGAAGTGTCCTCGAAATGTCTGATATTATGCATGTTTGTATTCATAGTAGAAAAGGGAATGTTCACAATCGGACACAAAATCTGAGGGCTTGGTTGGGAATTTATGTTGGTAGATTTTTTTTTCATAAGAGAAATGCCTCTATGACTTAATGATTCTCTCAATAAAATGATCTCCTATACAATACATGCTTGTGTAATTTTTATTTTCATTACTTAGGCTGTGGCTTTTTGTTGAATAAGTATACATTGCTAGCCCTTTTATCCTTGATGTGGCTTGTTTGGGGAGAGTGAAACATGAGAACCTTTCAAGGAGTTGAGGATCCTTTGCATAGGCATAAAAGTACTTTTTTTGGTCATTTTGTATAGTTTTCAGGGAGAGTCATGCCTAACTTAGATCATATTGTTGATTTTGTAGATTCTGTTCATTCTTAAGTTGCTATAGGTCTTTTGAGTGTGTAGGCCTTATTTTGTTTGCTTGTATAGGTTTTCATGGGTTGCATCCCCCTTGAAGCTTTTAAATATAATTTGCATTACTTATAAAAAAATTAAAATGGAAAATTATCGAGGACTGGAATAGTTGAAGGCATTGATGTCTGTTGTGACACTATCTTTCGTTTATGCAATATTCCCTTCAAACCCTGCCCCCCCCCCCCCCCCTCCATTTTTATTCTTGGTTCTTTATTTGAAAGAAAAAGAATTTTCAATGTTAAAGTAGTTTCTGCTCATCTGATTCCTGTAAATGCCAATTTTTTGAATTCATGCTAAACTTCAATGATCTCCTATTTACAGTGTAAGAGATGAGAAAGAAGTTGCTTTATGTATTAGAGACTTGAACTCCCCAAGCTTCTATCCATCAATGATATCTATATGGGTCAATGACTCCTTAGAGAGGAAGGATAGAGACAGGGATCTTTTGGCCAGGCTTCTCGTTAATCTTACAAAGTCTCGGGATGGAATGCTAACTTCCGTTCAACTCACGGAGGGGTAAATAATCAGATCTATTTGTTGTTTGACAATTACTATTTTTGTTCGATTGGCATTCAACTGGTTCCAAACAACATTTTTTTCTGTTCATGTCATCACAATTTTTTTTGCAATAATGTTAGAAACATTGACTAGTGTACCAATAATGTTAGCCAAAAAGTCACTATAAATTGTCACATCACTCTCTCTACATTTTTGCACATCTTTTCGTAAAAAGTCAAAAAATTATTAAAATATCCTATTTACAAATGAGGCCTAAGCGGTTCCCACGTCAAGTGATGGATTCCACATGCATGTCGTCTTGTGTTGTTTGGGGCAAGGGTGGCTTCTTGGCTTATTTGGCTAAATAAGTCAAAAAAACGAATGGCTGATTGTCATCGGTAAAAAAAGTCAAAAAGCCATTCAACTTTTTCACTCACAAAATGCAAAAAGCCACTCAACTTTCTAAATGCATAAGCTTTTTTAAATTCTACAAAAAAGTCAAAAAAGCTCCTAAAAAGCCAGTCCCAAACACTCTTTGATATGTTTGTTGGTACATCAGTTAGTGTTTCTAGCATTATTGAGTTTTTTATGTCGTTATTTAGTTTCAAGACTATTCTTACTGTTTGTCACTGACCCAAATTGCATTTTACCTGGCCAGGATTGAATTGGTTCTGGCTACTTTGGAGGATACAGTAACTGATGCACCAAAAGCAGCAGAATTTCTTGGCTGTATCATTGCTAGAACTATCATCGAAAAAGTCATTTCTTTGCGAGAGATTGGACGACTAATACAACAGGGAGGCGAGTACCCTGGTCGGCTTCTACAAATTGGGCTTGGTTATGAAGTTCTTCAAAGTGCATTTCACACGATACGGTCAGATAAAGGAGAATCAACCTTGAATGAGATCTGCACGAGTTCCAATCTTCGGTTGGAAGATTTTCGCCCCATAAATTGAATGCTTAAACTTGATCCGTAGAGGTAGAAATTCAAGTAGGAGGAAATATTTCTTTTCTTCATCAGGGTGGTAGTAGGTGTGGATAATTTTTTAGGTATGTTTTTAAGGTTGTTCTTCTTAGTTATACAGGCATTGCTGAAGCTCGATGACCTTTTTACTGTGTGGTATTATTGTACATCCGGGTTCAAATTGGTTAGAAAGAAAAAAAGGGGTTATTTCTTTCCTGTTTGGCTTGCTTAACTAATAGTTGATGTGGTTTGATGAATACTGAAAGATTTGTATTATATTTCTTGTGGTGTTTTCATTTTTGCAGATAGTCTTACACTGAAAACTGGTATCAAAGTTTCTAATCTCTGAGTGGTGGTGTTAAATTTGATGGCAATCATTTATATGTTCACAGGGTTTGGAATTATTTGGTGTGTTTGATCTACAAAATATATAATCTGATGTGACTTTGGAATTAGCTGGCCGTGTTTGTTTGAGCAGATGTGACTTTGGATTTGGCTAATTATTCAACAAAATATATAATCTGATGTGTTATTAATGAATTTTATGGTAATAGTCTCGGAGGGTGGTGAGATACGAAATGGATGGTTAAATATTCATCTAAACAATTCGAACGATGTTTTGCGATCACAATTATGATTGATGATGAGGTTTTTAAAACCATTGAATTACATTTTATTGGTTCGGTTTAGTTTGATTCTAAATTTTTCATAATTTAATTTGTTTTCAAATTTCATGCGCCTATAAATAATGATTTCTCACTCCTATCAGTACATGTCTCGCTTTATTGATTTTTTTTAATTTTTTTAATTTCTTTTTGACATTTCTTTTATAATTACCTATTTTAACTTTGAATTGAAGAAAGAAGAGAGAGAAAATAATGTCATTTTGCATAGAAGACAAATTTGAGGGTGTTTTAGGGATAACATAAAAAAATCATATATATATATATATATATTTTATAATAGTTTTTTCCATAAAAAATATACATTTCATAAAAAAAGAATTAAAATAAAAAATAAAAAACAAGCCAAAAAAATTAAACTATACATATATTTTTTTTTGACATTTTCGTATTTTAAAAAAATTATTGGATACATCTAGTTGAATAAAATTTAAAAGTCCAAAATAAATAATAAAAAAAAATCATCAAAAATTAAAAAGACAAATCCCAAACAACCACTAGGTAGCCCAGCCCAAATTTTCTTCTTTTTTATTTATTTTTTATTTTTAATTTCAAAACAGTCAAGACAAAAGGCCTAAAAAATGGGGGGTCTAAATTAAATTAAAAAATATATAGGGTAAAATTTTGTAAATAACAGAACTCTATACTTAAAACATCAATGCATTCTCTATTCCTCCTCCATTTTGTAACTCTTTACTGTAAGCAAACGGCGACGAAGCAAAACGGCGAATTCAAATTCTTAGGGCCACGAAGCGATCGGTGATTTCGAATCACCGAATCACCGACGGTTACTCCTCTCTCTCCCTCTCTCTCTGTGCGCTCTAAATCTAATTTCTGTGCCCTAATTACTGTTTTAAATTCACTGCTTTTGTTTGATTTGAGAACTTCATTATTGATTGCATTGCTTTTATTGATTTGAGGATTTGCGTAATTTTTATCCAATTTCATTGCCCTGTTTTTTAAATCTAATTTTTGTGAGATAATTTTGTTTTCAACTTGTCGTGTTTTTGTTTTTCTTGGATCAGATATTCTCTTAAATTTTTCGACAATTCTGTGACTGTTTTTTGGATTGTGGGTTGAGTTTCTCTTTGGTTTGGATTGATTTTACAATCATGGTTTCTGGAAAGTAGAGTTCTTGATGTGATAAAAGGAAAAAGAAGCAAAATGTAGAAAAAATTATTTAATTTTAGTAATATAAGTACTTTTCATTTCGTTGTCATTATATATAAAGGGCCCCCATTTCAATGGTTCGCCTTAGACCCCAAAAAATCTTTCTCTTGGCTTCGTCATGGTTCCCATCACTACTCCCCATTTTGCCTTGTCAAATTTAAAACCCTAATTCCCTTCTCTTCCCCTCTTTCTATAGGTAAAATTGCTGGACCCTTTGAACCACATTTGTTGATCTTTTGCATGTAGTGCTTGTTGAGTTCAGTTTGTTTTTGTTTGTTTGTTCGATTGATTGATTTCTATGTCTTTCTTGTGAATGATCGTTTGATGGGTTTGGATTTTTCTGTTGTTAATATGGGTCATTTGCAGAAGATTGAAGAACTGAGGGTTTAGGATATAAATCATATATTTCATGTGTCACTTATGTAGTAGTTGTTGAGTTCAGTTCATGTTTGTTCGATTGATTGGTTTCTCTGTCTTTCTTGTGAATAATCATTTGATGGGTTTTGATTTTTCTGTTGTTGAAATGGTCATTTGCAGAAGATTGAAGAACTGAGATTTTAGGTTATAAATTATATATGTCCCTCAACCAGTCTAGGGCTGAAAGGAACGAGTCACACTACAGGAGACCTGCTCGACCCGGAATCTCAGCTCACCAAAGGGTCTCGTCAGGTGGTGTAGGAAAGGGGGGCGGTGGGACGGGCCTTCCACCTGCTTCTGCCAATTCCCAGTCTTCGTCATTTTCGACGACTAGGAGGTAATTGCAGTGCACACTTGCATACATCTTGGACTTTCTAGATGGTTCCTGAAAAACTAGGGTTTGTTGAATTTTATTTGTTATATCAGCTTTAAGAAGACTAATGGACAAGGGACACAGCCTAGGGTTACCGGTACAAATGCAAATTTGGAGTCCAGTGCTGTACACAATGGTGCCCGTGCACAACCTATGTTACCCGGTATGAGAGCTCTCTCTCTCTCTCTCTCTCTCTCTCTCTTTCTGTAAGGTTACACCTTTCTTATAGAATTATAAGGACAATTTGTTGCCTGCACATTACAAATGAAGGATTGGTTATGGTGGGTTTAATGATTTCTTCAGTTTGCTGACTGTGTCAGAATTATAATAAGATTGCTTGTTGTTAATTGAATGCAAATGCTAGAAAGAGGGCTTTGTCTGAGGGGCAGATAACAGTTGTCGAGGGGAAACAGTACAGCAGCCCTCCGCATGGGTGTGAAAGAGAAAGGCAACTGATGAGGGGTAGGGGATAATGGATTCTTTGAACAAGAGAAGAAGGGGGGGGGGGGGGTTGTCATGTATCAGGGTTGAGCAGTGCTATTCAGTCTGACAGTTGGACTGATACAGACTGATGTATTTCATTTTAAGTGGTTAATGCTATATGGCCCACAAGACACTAAGCAATCAAGAAGAGACACATCAGTAGGACTTGGTCTGACTGTCGGACTGAGTATCATTTTCTGTTTAGGTTCTCTAAAATTTCAGGCTCTCTTTTCTGTTCACAGGAGTTGAAAGCATATCCTACTTTTGTATTTTTAAATATATGGACCTAGTGCCATTTTTTTACTTGTTTCTAAAACGAGTGAAAACACCCTTTTTGTGTTTTCATTTTTTTTGTCATAATTGTGCCAGAAGCTTTCACAAGAAGGAAATATAAAACATTTATCATGCTTCTAAAAATTCTAAACATAGTCAAATGTGTGGTAGGTTGTTCTAGAATAAGATGAACATTAGTTGTTGGTTGATTCTGGGATCTTAATTGGTTTGTTAAGTTTCTGTTTATTTTTTTATAGAATCATAATGATATCTGTCATTACTTGAATACGAGAACTGAAGCAATTTGTTTTCTTTTTTAAGCTTGCAATAGTGTCAGATTTCCAATCATTTGTTTACTATCATGCAAATATTGTAGTTTGAGATTCATATTGAATTTAGTCAAATTTATGATTGGTATTATCTTTATTTATTTATTTATTTATTTTTTTTTTGTAGGGGCATCTAATGCTCTGTTTACAAATGCATCTGCCAAGCCTATTGATATGCACAATCAGAGAAGTCAGCAAACTGCTTCCAGTGCTCCAAATTCTGCATCCGCATCTGGAACTTCAGAATCAGCTGCCCCCACAACCCCCGTAATAGGTATTCCTTGATTGCCTTCATGAACTATCTGGACTAAATGTAGATGGGTGTCATATTTATGTCATCTTCATATTCTGGGAGCTTTTTTCAGCAAATGCCTCTGTAGAATGTTCATGTTTATGGTGGATGGCTAGATTTATTTTCCTGTTTCTTTTGTGCTCTTTTGCTCTCTTTCGTTCTTACTTACACTCATACTTCGTCCACTTAATTTGACCCAGCTGACGCTTCTAAGGGAGTTTCTCTTCAATTTGGGAGCTTTTCTCCAAATATAGTGAGTGGGTTGCAGGTACGTGTACCTTCTCTCTCTGGAACATATGTTTATGCACATTTTGAGCTTTTCTGGTTTGTTAATTTTTCAACTAAAAAAGCATTATTGCTTTTATTTTTGTAGATACCTGCTCGAACCAGTTCAGCTCCGCCAAACTTAGATGAACAGAAACGTGATCAGGTTTTTATCAGCTCTGCAATGACCTCTTGCCATTATTGTACTGTTATTTTTTATTTTTATTTTGCATTGTTGTCCGTTAAAATAGTTGAATTCGTCAACATTTATCTATCATACACAAAATCATGTTATCGGAAATGAGTGGATTATTATCCATTACTAGTTTGCCTAGTTGCATGCAAAATTCTTTTGAGTCTGTAATTATTGAAGTTTCAGTGTTTGTTTGTGGGTTTCAGTGTTTGTTTGTGGATTTGAAAGTTAATTTGTTCCTTTTAGATTTCCTCCACTGCCTTAAACAAGAAATGCAATTTTTTTGGATTTTAAACCTGAATAGTAATGTCTGTGATATATATATATATTTATATTCCATGAATGAAAAGTCATTCTGCATCTTGCAGGCACGCCATGATTCCTTTGGATCAGTGCCACTGTTACCAACTTCTTCCATTTCTAATCGGCAACAATCGAGGGAGGATGTCGAGCAGTCCAAGAGTAGAGTTCCTCATCATCCATCTCATGACAAAAGGGGTGTTCGTGCTCAAGCTCCAGCTTACAGTGGTGCTACCAGTGCAAAGAGTTCATCTACTCCTGTTTCTGGGGCATCTATGGCTATTCCTTTTCAGCAGTCACAGGTTGTACAATTTGGTGTCCCCACTCCAAAAATCCAGGCTCAAGGAATGGCAACTACTTCATTACAGATGCCGATACTTGGACATTCTAGCCAAGTACAGCAACAGGTGTTTGTTCCAAGTATCCAAGCCCCTCCTTTGCAGCCGCAGGGCATGATGCGTCAAGGTCAGGGGTTGAACTATCCCCCTCCAGTTGGTCACCAGGTCAGCTCCCAGATGGGCAACTTGGTCATTGGGATGGGGTCCCACTTTGCACAACAGCAGCCTGGAAAGCTTGGTGCTCCTCGTGTATCCATAA